ATCTTCTTCTCTAGTTTATCTTCTTCCATATTTATCTTTTTCCATGCTCATCTAATTCTCTAGTTCATATAGATTTTTTAACAACAATGAAAGTTTCTCTTGTCATTCTAGATTTTTTTAGGAACCAAATGGTATTTTACCTAGGAAATTTTCTTTCCACCTCCAATTTTCTTAGCAACCAAACAACACACAATATTATCAAATTTGTAAAAATTCTAACAAAGATTTATAAAAATTCATTATCTTTTTCCTCTTTCCTTCTTCCTCTTTTTTTTTTTCTTTCTCTCTCCTCCATCATCCTCCTCCAAGTTTGAGAACCTAGATCTGGATTCTCTAAGAGAACCCAAATCTAGGTTCTCCTTGAGGATAGTAGGTTCTCTTGAAGAATCTATATTTGGGTTCTCCTTCAATAGATCAAAGAGGGGGGTAGAGAAGAAAGAAGAGGGGAAGAAAGGGAAAGAAGAAGAAAACAAAAGGAGAAGGAGGGAAAAGAAGGAAGAAGGTTGAAAATCAAATAACCAATTCTTTGTGAAGAGAAGGGCTGCCCAAATCTATACAATGGAGAACTCGCAAGAGGAGACGTGGGAGAAGATGGGTAGAGAAATGGTGATGGAGAAACAGAGAGAAAGAAGGAAAACAAGGAAAATGAATGGAATCTAGAGAAATTTTAATGTCACGAATTACATTCAATAGGCTTGTTATGGCCAAGCGAGGGATAAGCCTTTTACGGGAAAATATTGTATGTTAACTTTTGAACCAAAAGTGTATAAGGTGGAGTGTTGGCTCCAAGGGTAAGTGTATCATTTCCCATGTATAATTTATCCTATATAATTAAACAAACTAAATGTATACCTTTTCCAATTGATTAGGAAAACGAACTATGATATTTTTTATGAATAATAATAAGTGAACATATATTTGCACGTGTAAAATTTTGATACAAATTTTTTAAGTGCGCCTGAATTAAACCTTGCATATATATGTAAAAACTTTTTAAACAAAATTTGGATAGTGGAGTTTAATTCCTTGGAATATTAAGATAACAATTATATAAGTTATAAATTATATAAGGACAATAATTTGAGATAAATGATGTGGTATAAGGTATATCATTTAACTTAGCTAATTTATATAATATCATAGGTCTCGAAAAGTGAAAAGAGCTTGTCATTAAATAATATAGAACCCACCTTTTAATATTTTAAATTATGCCGTTTATATTATATCATTGGTCTCAAATTTGAATCCCATAAAATTTGTCCCTTTTATCATTATTCTAACTTTAATTATCTTATCCTATTATAAAAAAAGTCCTTTATGTTTTCATTTTTTCTTTAAATATAATAATTAATTGATAAAATTTTATATTTGTTCCTATTTGACCACAACCGAAAGAAGTGTACTTACCATAATATGCATTCTAATTATCTTATTAAAATAAAGGTAAAACAAAATAAATTCATTGAATAACATTTTCAAATAAAAATGTAAATAATAAAATTTAAATGCGTTAAATAAAAAAATAAGACAATTAAAATTAAATGGAGGTAGTAACATGTAATTAAACATAAACTTCTTGCCTATTTCCTCAACTCTCAATTAATTTTGCCAGTTTGTTAGCCAGCCCTTGAAGTAAACACTAAATAGAAGTGCTCCCTCCGTCTCATAATGAGATTCGGTGCACATAAAGATATAGTTTTTTAAAATTTTCTAATTAAAGATATGATCATTTTTTTATTAATTAAAACTACCACTTTTTAAAAACCTCGAATTAAGGATATGATTTTTATAATTTTTTTAAAAAAGGATTAAGCTGATATGCGAGGTATATCTTTAATAATTAGAAATCTTTGAAAAGTGATATCCTTAATTAATAAAATTACAAAAGTTATATTTTTTGTAAGAAACTTTTAAAAAGTAGTAATCTTAATTAATAAAAAAAATCATATTTTTAATTAGAAAATTTTTGAAAGGTTGTGTGCTTTTTTGTAGTAAATCTGATAATGATAAGTTACATATAAGAGTGGATAACCTTCTCTTTTCCCTAAATCCCCCCCACCCAATTTAAGATTTCAAACTTGAGATCTCCAACTTAAAAGTTTAAATTCTTAATCTTTGATACACCCCATTGAGGTTGAAAGGATGTGTGCTTATTTCTATTGAATCTTATCTCAAAATAATAGACATTTTTTTATTTTATTTCCAAGATTCGGGAACAATTTTTAATTTTACTTATTTCACCTTTTAAAAATAAATAAAAATAAATAAGTATTTTAATTAGATAATTGATATAATTAAAATTAAGAATTAATCATAAAGTTAAAATTTAAAAAATATTTATCTCCCTTAAAATAAAAAAATGACTATTATTCTAAAACAAATTTTCAATAAAAATATGTATATCGGTGGAGGGAGTACTTACCTATGAGGTAACATTTTTCCCATAAAAAAGAATATACAACATTTAGGTATGCTTTAATGCTTGGACCACCATATATTCCAAACATATTGGTCTCACAATCACCAAATTTCTCACTATACCATCAGTCAATTTTAAATGAAAGACTGACGCCGTTGGGATGATTGCTTGGCTAGAATAGACCATGTGGTCCTTTCTCATGACGATGCAAACTGTATTCCGAGTCCCATATCAACATAAAATTATAAATACACTTGATATATAATTGTAATAGAAAGGTGTTTGGATTTCTAAACATTAAATTATAATTGTAAATAATAATTAAATTTAACAATTTAAACTTGAGATTTTTAGGTAATGTGGGCACTTAAATAGGCGAATAATTTAAATCAAATAGTTTCAATTAGTACGAGAGCAATCAGTTCTTGCATACTGAAGCTTACATTGACTCTCATGCTCATTGGTAGCATAAACATAATATCGCATGAGATGAGCCTTATGTTTGTGCGTGTCTGTGGGGCTAGTTGACAAGTGTAATACGGTTTGATGAGCAATGATTTTCATTGCGGAAATTGCTATGTCTCAAATCCCAAATCAAAATAAATTTGCCAACCGGGCCTGTGGCCCAATAGTTGCCCCAAGCCATAGGGTTTGGGTGAGGCAGAGGTCAGGAGTTCGAGTTTTGTCATCGTCGTGAACTTCACTAACTTGCTACATAATGGTCGCGCGCCTCTTCTGAGGGGATGAATTGTTCACCATTCTGGAAAGTCACAGTTGCTAACAACTAACTCTACTAACTTTCTAACCATTACCCTTGTAAAAAAAAAAATTTTGATAAAAAAAAACTGTTATTTTATTTGTGAATGTTCACTTGAAATTTAAAAATTAAATAATAAACTAAATTTTTTTTAAAAAAAATTTAGACACATCACTGTAATAAAAAATCACAATTATACTAAACAAAACTTAGTTTATCTTATAACGGATTGCTCTTCCACGTGTTGATCAATGATCATTAAATTTAGTAACCCAAATACAATTTTTAAGTAAAGCATTTATCTAAAACCTTAACAATTTCACAATAAAAAGTCAAAGCCACTATCTCTGAATTAAATAGAAGGAAAAAATTATTTTATCTTAACATGTAGATGGGCCCAACGCATACGATCTCTTTCGGACAAATGAGGTTCCAAACAGGGTAATGCAGTTTATAAATACGGATAAAGCACATATATTTTTAATAGTGTTAATTTAATTTGTTTTATTTTTTAATATAAATTTTATATAAAAATTAATAATTAAAAAATTTTATATAAAATTTTTATTAAGTATTTTTATTTAATTAAAATTTATTATTATTCATATAATATATTAATTTTTTATTTAGAAGATTAAATAATTAAGTTAAAACTATTAAAAATAAATGAAAGAAATATGGAATTAAGAATGATGAAGTTCTAATAAA